GAGAGGAGAGGAGAGGAGAGGAGAGGAGAGGAGAGGAGAGGAGAGGAGAGGAGAGGAGAGGAGAGGAGAGGGAAGCAAGTTATCCTCAGAACTGCTCAAGATATGAAACACACATCACTCTTGCTCTGCAGTTTTAAGCTGAATTGCTGCAGAATGAGGCAAGTAGTCTGCTCATAAAAATACTTTAAGGGAATATAAACACCCTAAAAGAACTCCTGGGCTACGCTTGCAAGCTGCTGGGCCAGCTGCTCCAGGGGTAGCCAGCTCCCTGTCACAGGGCCCACCTGTGATGCCAGTGGTGCAGGTGCTCTGGGTGGGGAGCGCCATCTTTCCACATGACAAGGTGGCAATGCTGATGTTGTACGAGGTAGAAAAATTCAAATAGGTGACTTCTGTCCTACATTCTGTGTCATCTGAAGTGCAGTTCTCCAGGTGTGTCATATTGTCCCAAGCATCACTCCTGACCCCTAGCTCGAAGCCTGTGTTCATCCCAGGGGGGCAGGCCCACTTGAGAACCAACGCTGGCTCCTTAGGGACCACTTCACAGTGGAAGAAGGCCACAGGTGCAGGATCTGCAAAGCAAAGAACAAGGCAAGGTGAGGCTCAAGGGAAGCAGGGACCCAGGACATGAGGGGACAGCATGGATGGAGGAAGATGCTCATCTTCACTGAATTAAGCGATATCAGACTACATGACCTTGGGTCAGTCACCTTACTGCCCTGGGGCTCAGTGCAGGTCTGTCTGAGGATTAAATGCAACATGAGCGGCAGTTACCAAGCAAGATTCTGGGAAGAGGGGCTAGAGACTTAGCAGTTAGAGCACTGGCTGCTCTCCTAGAGAATTAAAGTTCAGTTCCCAGCTCCTGCCCCAGCCAGCCAGCCAGCCAGCCAGCTGCACAGGCTCATGGAGGTTTTTCTCTTGCTTAAGGTTGCAATGTCAACAGAGGTCCCCGCAACACCACTGTACCAAGGTAAGCAAGTAGACCGGCAGGATGCAGTCTAACTGAGCAACGGTCACTGAAAACCACAGATCGTTAACCACATCACGGGAAAGACCAGAAGAGGCCAAGCATTGAGCTCTAATGCCTCCTGCCTCTCACAGTCTAGCTCCTGCAGATCCACTCTCACCACCCTGGCCTCCTATAAATTCTTCAAAGCAGTGTTATCTCCAGCCTCTGCCCGTAATGCAGGGTCAAAACCCTGCAATGCTCATGTGGTGGGCTCTTCACTCCCTCAGATCTATGCTCAGTCACCTTCGAATTTATCCTTTCCATGGGGCATCCTCACACGACACCTTAGATAAGAATACCATTTGCCCCTTCCCTGGCTTTCTTTTTCCTTATCTGTCCTCTTAGCTACAATCACCACCTATCTTCTTGCTTACTTTTATCTCTTATCTGTATTGTTCAGCAGGCTAAAAGTTCTAGAAATGCAGGGACCTCTCTGACAAAGCACGTGCTCTATAAACACATGTTGGGTGAAGCAAGGGCAATGTCGTCAACATTCGTGAGCTGCTGGGCTGGGCTGGAGTTCTCCAGGTCCGTGGCTGCACACCGCAGATACAGTAACCTACAGTCTGGGAAGGTTCCTGCACGTGATCGCCACAGTGGGAAGAGCAGGGACCACTCAGAACACGGGACTACTCACCCATACAGAACAGCTTCAGACCAGGTACCAGTGATACTGTATCATTCCCAACTTGTGTAAAGATCTTCACTGTGTAAGAGTCGCCAGGGTTTAACCCAGTGACTGTCACAGAAGGGATGTCTGTGACCCTGCCAGTTACCCTGCTGCCATCTCCAGCCTTCAAGATAAGGACAGAGTAGACATAGGAAGCAGAGGCGGAGTCCACGTTCTTCCACCGAATGACTGCCACAGTGGTGTTGGTGTCTACTTCAATGTGGGACACACTGCTGGGCCCTTGGTTTAAAATTAAGCAAATGAACAAAAATGAGCTCCTTTGAATTACAGGCCCATTTTATTTACTATAGCCAAAAGCTGCCTGATTTTTCTCAAGAATGAATTAATACAATTAACATGTACCACTTCAAAAGATGATTTCCCAAAAGAAAATTCAGAAAATTAAGTCTGAAAAGAATTTAAAATGTCCAGGCTTCTTTTGTTATTTAATTTTATCCTATATATTCCAATATATTTTCTCATACAGAGAGAGCGCTTCTTTTAAAATTTTATCATATATCTTCTAACATATTATCTCACACAGAGAGATAGTGTACTGTGATTTCCAGCCTCCTTTTGGAATCTGACTAGTAAAGAAGGTCAAGTACATGATAAGCTAACCCTTCCACCGTCCGTCCATCTAAAGGCTGCGGAAGCATCTCTATCATCTCTATCACAGAAGAGATCCTCATCTGAGGGGATCTTCAGCAGGACAGCAGCTCTCTAGTCTATGTTTCTGAAGAGTGAACACAGGCTCTTCATTCTCCTATGATGTTACTTTCTGCTTACAACAACAGTTGTGTTCCCTTAGCTCCTACCCAGAGTACCAACCCCTACAGAAGAGCCTTTGCTGGAGCTGATGTTTCTAGCTAAGCTCCCACATCAACCTGCAACCCAGAGGCATAATCCAGCCTCTCCCTATCAGTTACTGTATTTCCTCCACGGGAGAGGCAGGAAGCACCCCTTCTGCCTGCCTCATCCCCCACAAGACTCACGTGTGTACTGGGTAATGGAGTTGGAGTCGCCCTGGATCTGGTCCACTTCTGGAAAGATGGTGACATTATATAAGGTGCCTGGGGTAAGGCCTCCCACTGTGATCCATTTCTGAGAACTGTTGGTACTGATGGAGCCATTTTTAGAGTCTAGAACTAAATGGTAAGTGTATCCAGAAGCATTGTCTGTATTCTGCCACTGCAGCTGCATTTCAGTGGTGCTAACATTGATCACGTGGATGTCAATCACAGCACTGCGGTCTGGTCAGAGAAAAGAAAGAAAAGTATCTAATCAAGATTCCAGCTTTGCTTCAAAGTGTTTGTCAAAAGAACCGACTCTTTGTTAGCCAACTTTCCAAAGAGGTCAGACATCATGCACTAGCAGTCAGGGCCAGCCCTGGCTACGGATTAAAAATAAATTCTCCAGTGAGTTCACAAAGGCCAAACAGTGTCCTGGTGCCTATGAAGATAAGAAGAACCCCTGAACTTATAGATGGCTGTGAGAATGCAAGAGGGAGGAAATCAAACCCAGGTCCTCTGCAAGATCATTCAGCACTCTTAACTGCTATCCCTGTTGCCAGCCCTATACTCTATTTCTTACTCTGAACTGGGATTCTCATGCATTTGACCTACGGCAATTCATGAAGCTATGTACTGAGAAAGGCTACACTCTTTATACCTATATTGTATCTCAACAAAGAGTGTGTTTGAAGTTGAGATTGATGCACACCTATCATCCCAATAACACTTATGAAGCTGAGGCAGGAGGATTTCAAGTTCAAGGCCACCTTGAGCTCCTCAGAATGACCCTGTCTAAATAAATATGAGTTTGATTTTCATCATCCAGTCAAAAGAACATGCATTCCATATGAACTGCCTGGCGTACTGAAGAGAAAAACAAGAAGGAAAATGAAGGGAAAGCTGTAAAAACCAAGATATAGATACATGATACCTTTCTCTAATAGCAAGAAGGTCATGCTAACCATGGGAAGGGTCATTACATACACAGAGCAAAACCTTCAAGAACAAAATAAAATTAGTTGTGTAATTATGACAATGATATAAACAAAAGGTATAGCTGTGGACGCAGGCAGGAAAGAAATTCAATCAGATGAGAACAGCTAAGAAACATAGGTATTCCCTTCCCCTTTAGCATGGTAAATACACACAACATACTATTTATCACTAACCATCTGGCAATGTGTATTTTGCCAGTACTAGATGTACTGTATAAACATTACCATTATCATATTCAAACTTTTCATCATTTTTCAACATAAACTCTATACTATTTAACACTATTTTCTATTCCCTCCCACAAGCTCCTCTCTGTCTCTGTAAAGCTGCCTATTCTAGGCACTTTGTATAAATGGAAGTATAAGCACTTGTCTTTGGGAGTATGGTGACACACACCTTTAACCCCAGCATGTGGAAGGCAGAGGCAGGAGGATCTCTGCAAATCTGAGACAAGCTGTTCTATATAATGCCTTCCAGGCCAGCTAGGACTACATAGTGAGACCTTGTTGTTAAAAATAATAATAAATTAAATGTTCTTTCTGTATGTGTGACTTGTTCCACTTTGTAAAATACTCTGCGTGTGATTTGTTTCATTTAGTATATTTACAAGATATACTTATGTTATACATGAATGAAGATTTCACTCCATATGGCAGAATAAAACTCTGTTGTGGGCTGGGTGGTGGTGGTGCACACCTTTAATCCCAGGACTTGGGAGGCAGAGACAGGTGGATTTCTGAGTTCGAGGCTAGCCAGGTCTACAGAGTGAGTTCCAGGACAGCCAAGGCTACACAGAGAGAAACCCTGTCTCAAAAAAACCAAAAAACAAAAAACAAAAAACCCTCTATTGTGTAGACTACAGATAAAGCCATATTTTGTCCATGTGTGTGCCAATGGATACTGGGTAGTTTCCACCTTTGGGCTGCTGTGAATGAACACTGGTGTACAAACTAGCTATTTGAGACCCTGCTTTCAATTCTTTCTGATAGATATCCAAAGTGGAAAACTAGATCAGAAGGTATTTGCTTCCCTTTATCAAGACTGCCTTTCACGTCGTTCAACTATGTCCCAGCAGTGATGACAGCTGTTTGCTAATGGACAGTAACTGTAAATTTCTGGGGCCTTACTCCAACCCTTCTTGCCACCCATTCCAAGGAAACTACTCATAGGAAACTACACACGAATACAAGGCTGATTTTAAATTATCATATAAAATAAATATTGCCAGACATGTTAGCCCATGCCTCTGATCTAACACTTTGGGAAGCAAAAGCAGGCTGATTTCTGTGAAAAGCCAACCAGATCTACAAAGGCCAGCCAGGGATATACAGTGAAGGTTTGTTTCAAAATCAAATAAGAAAATAAATAGATAAAAATAAAATGACTCATGCTGACAGGGTAAAATATTTATAATAAACAGGTGAGGAGAAAGCAGATTATAAAACCACACATGAACAAAAACAGCAAGGTTTGTAAACAGCAAATATATATGTCCATCTACATCTTAAAACAGTATCAGGGAGCTGGCTATGGTAGCCTGTGACTATGGTAGCCTGTGACTCTAACCTCAGCATCTGTGAGGCAGAGTTCAAGACCAATGTCAGTCACATAGTAAGTTAAAAAGTGACATGAGATCTATCTCAAAAGTGGGTGAGGATCTGTCAAGGTAGCTAAGTAAGTAAAAGCACTCTCCACACAAGTCTGAGGACCTAAGTTCAATTCCCAGAGCCCAGGGTGGAAGGAAAGAACCAGTCCCCAGAGTTATCCTTTGACCTCCATACATACAGTATTGCACTAATTAAAGACTTTACATGTGATTTTTTTTGCTTGACTTTATTTTTATATTGTCGATATGTACCACTGGCATGAATTGTTCTTTTTTTTTAATTTATTTTTTCTTAAGATTCTTTTTTATAAAAAGAAAAATAATATTCCTAAAACATCTAATGTCCTAAGACATCTATTAATTGCACTGGCTTCCTGTAAGGAGCTTGAGTGTCCAGATGCTTACCAGTTGTACCATTAACTGTCCTGGATGGCCCTTTAGTCCCATCTGGTCCTCGTGGAAATATTTCAAAATGGTAACTGGTTCCAGGCTTTAAACCTTCAACGATATAGCTCTGGTTTCCTGTCGAAGCATTTCGATGCTTCTCACTTCCATCCTGCTTGATGAAAATCTCAAATGACTCTGAGTCATTGCTTCTCCAAGCCAAACCAATTTCCCTTGTGCTGACATTTGTCACTCGGAAGTCAGAAACTGGACCAGGGGCTGTGGAAGACAGTGAGTAAGGTTAGGTGAAGACTCCATCCCCGGGCAGGGTGCAGCAGCGGCACTGCCTACAACACCAACACTTGAGCAGCTCAGACAGGGGCATCCCGAATTTGAGACCAGCCTGAGACGCACAGTGAAAGCTCATCTCATAAACCAAAGTATGTAAAGTCTGTCTCCAGAGGACAGGATGGCCAACCCTCAGAAACACTGACCAACATTCTCCAGAGCATCAACTGCAGTATAAGCCCCTCAAGCTGGTGCTTCTGGCTAAGAAAGATCACTTGGCCACAAAAGAGCACACATCATGCCAGTCACCCACAGGCAGTGATGGGGGTAAGGATTCCCAGGCTCTAGGGTAGAATGCTGGCCATGGCTGACTGCTTTATCTTGAACATGTTACTCGGTCTCCTAAAGGTCTAACCTCATCTCCATCAATTACCTGCTGAGATGTCTGCCCACATCGCCTCACACATGGTCTCCATGTCCATAAAGTAAGACTAATGCCAACTACATCACAAGGATGTCCTAGCACTCAATGACACAGTGCAAAAGCAGCATATCACAAGCCACTGAGCATGTGATTAGGGTCAACCAATGATGGCTCTTGTTAGATCTCATACCCTGAGGGGCAAATGAGCCCCCGTGGAACCATGCGCAGTGCTAGGCACTCCTTAAGGACAGAACAGAGTTCCCTTGCCTTGTATCTATTCTTGGCACATAGCAGACCACAAGAAAGGTGTGTGCTGGTTAGCTTTTATTGTTACCTTGATAACAACCTAAATTCTCCTGGGGAAAGGAAACCTCAGCTCTGTAACTACCAGACTGGACTGGCCTACGGCCATGTCTGTGAGAAAAGATGATTGAAATGGGCATGCCCAGACCACTGTAGGCTTACGATATCTGGGCAGGTGGGCCTGGGCTGTTTAAGAAAACTAGCTGAGCAGGAGTCAGAAAGCTAGCCAATAAGCCATGTTCCTCCCCAGCTTCTGCTTCAGCTCCTATCCCGACTACCCTAAGAGATAAGACTGCCTGACACCCGGAAGTGTGAGCTGACATAAACTGTTTCTTCCACCCATTTTCTTTGATCACAAAGTTTACCATAACAACAGACAAGGAAAGCAGACCACATAGCAAGGAGCAAACTTACAAGTGTACACTTGGAGGAAACCTGGTATGCCCTCGGTCTGACCCAGGAAAGGATGAACTGTGATGTTGTACAAGGTGCTCGAGCTGAGCCCAAGGACGACGGCCTCAGTCCTATTGACAGTTTGGTTGATGTAGTCAGACCCCCCAGCCACGTGTATTTTGTAGGCAAATGAAGGATGGGACCCATTATAGTTGCTTTTCCAGGTCAGGGTCACGCTCAAGGAGCTGATGTTCGTAGCTCGGATGTCAGAAACCTGGGTGGAGTCTTTGAAGACACAAGAGGAGTGAAAAATAATCAGTGGACAAGTCAGAATGGTTACAGTGGAAAGTGCCACCAGGGCCTGTCATCAGTTGGTCACCCTCACCATCAGCTCCCTATGACCAGAAATGTGCATGGATCTCACAGAAGTCTGGCATCAGTGAAGACAGCCTGGCCACTGCACCTCACAGATGTTCTGTGTTCAGTCTGTGAACAGACCTTGGATTCCAGATCAGGCAATAGCATGGACTTTTACATGTGCTGCCCTGGGGAGTTGGGGGTAAGCCAGAAAAGCCCTCAAGTACAGATCAGCCCAAGAACAAACATATACATCATGAGAAGGTCTCACACCTAAACAGAGAGCACACTGGATTCTAAGCTGGCTGGGCTTTACCAGCCAGGTAGAGACCTTAGGAAAGCTACTAAGCCACTTCCTTATGAGACAGGGTTAGCTACCCTAACCTTACAGAAAAACATATGAGAACACAAGACATCCTTCAGGTATCTACTCTACCAGCCCATCCTGTCTTTCCTCTGCCTATCCTGTGTCCCAGGAGGCTGCACTCTGCATGTGACATCACTGGGGACCTTCCACATGGCCTGTGAACACTCTGTGCCAGCGTGTGGCATGGGAAGATGCTGAGGGCTCCTAAGGGGAATAATCAGTCTGACATCCCACGTCTTCCGCTTTTACTGGACTCCAGAAAAACTATCTCCTCCTTTACTCCAGTTCTGGAAGTGGCTTTCCATCAGTCACTTATTTTATCTCCTCAGGATAGGGGGTTTGTGGTCCTCTGCTATCTTTTATAGATATTTGGATAAAAGAGCTTTTTATACAGAGTCATCAATCTGTTATAACCTCTCCCACTATTCTCCTGCCCTCTGCCTTCACACTCTAAGTCTGTCATCTGTATTTCTGGTCAGGACAAAGTGTCCTCCCTGACTCCCTTTCCACCCCATCTCCATTAATCCAAGATGTAACTTGGATCCTCCAGAGTAACTTCAGATCCTCCCTTGGGACTGAACGTTACAAGTCAATGCTTCACCTCACAGTGTCCATACGGCAGGCTGCAGAATGGACGACAGTAGCCACGCACCACCTGCGCATCAGCCACGTACCACCTGCGCATCAGCGCCGCCCCCTTTCCAAGCAGTACCCAACATTCTTAGTGGTAGGAACTGCTAGTCACCCACATGAGAGCCAAGGGACATCAGCTCCCTTACCCAGCACAGCAGTCATCAAGCAGATACACAACATCTACCTGGGGACTTTGACTCCGGGACATCAATAGATCTAGGGTGGCCTAACACTTCCTGGACACCAGCTTGTTCTCCAGCCTTGTCCCTCACTCCCTCAGGAATGTTGACCGAGGATAGTATTTCAAAATATTTTCTGCTAAGACACACCAAGCCAGTGCACACCGAGTCCCTGAGAGCTGTGAAGCTACAGCATCTGAGCTCAAAGGGGCCACATGCAGTCATTTCCGCAAGTTTATCCCAATCCCTCATCTAAGAGCAGGAACCATACATCTTATTCCATCAGCAGCATTAATGACAAGCCTTCAGAACACTGAACTCACAGAGTGAGGGTGTGCGTGAACCACAGTAATGGCAGCAATGTAATGTCAGCAAGGGCCTTGACAGAAAGTTCAATGTGGATCTCAAGGGAAGGCCAAAACCAGAAACAGGCTGGCTAATCTGCAGATAGCAAGGACAGAAGTCAAGTGGCACCCAGCATCTACACCATCACTCAGTGCTTTACTGAGTTTCAAAAAAGATAAACTATGGCCACAGAGGTAAGACAGAAACTCTCTCTCAGGAAGATCCTTTTAATAACAGAACTAGCTGCTAAGCAAGAAATAATTCAGATATAGAATTTCAAAAGATAAAACTTTATAAAACTCAGGCTGAATCAATTTCACAAAATCCAACCTACTTGTTTTAAACACTTTGTTCCCAGGCTGTCCTTCTGTGTCATCTGCTGCTCGAGAATAAATGGTGACATTGTACTCAGTACCAGGCTTTAGCTCAGTGATCAAGACCTCTGTGAGGGAGGGATCCTGGGCAGAGGTATTTCTCTTGGTACCATTGGCATCTGCTTCAAAGACAGGAGGCAAAGACATTAACCACAAGAACACATCCCCCACCTTTCACCACCCATCCCATAGGATGACACATCCAACAGAGCCCACAGTTGGTACTCCATAAATATCTGTTCTCTGCCACCTCCTGAGAAAGATCCGGTTCCCTGAAAAGAACCAGATACTTCACTTTGTACTACTACTCTGTAAACACCACAGTTGTTTTGTAGTTTTCTTTGAACTCTGATTTGCTGGACCATCCTCCTTTCTTTGGGAAGTTATCTTCTGCCATCCCACCATGGTCTCCCTCAGACTGCTCCAAACTCTATCTTCGCTAATATAAGTCCACTCAGGAGTGCTTCCCCAGGACTACACTCCAAACAGTGGCAGAAAGGGCAGGGGATGAGATAGGAAGAGTCATGACTATTTCTCCTTGAACTGTGGGGGGCTGGGGAGGGAGTCTCCCTGAGAAGCATCCTGACACAGACGAAAGCACGAGAAAGAGTTGAGGGTGGCCTATCTCCTGAAGGCCTCACTACCTGTCATGGGCTATAAATCATCTTTCATCTTAGCACTCAACATCTGGTTTCTGATTCTAATACCCAATTTGTATCTTTGTTTCCTTGGTGTAAAATAGGGATTTAGCCTCTCCTTTTCCTCATTTCACAGTTATCGGAGGAATCCACTGCAAATGCTACAAAGTCTACAAATGACTCCTCAACAGAAAGCACAGAAGACTACTAAGGTTCCATCTCCTCAATGGGGGTGACTGATTTGGCCATCCATTGATTAACTCTCGCCTGTGATGAAAAGTGAAAACTGAAAATGCCCATCTACCTTCCTGAACTCCAATCCAAATCCAAAAGTCTGAAGCCCACCTACCACACTCAGCCCCATATTCACTTGTAAAATAGGCACCCTCTTCCTCATTAAGGAATGAGATCAGACAGCACTGCGGCAGAGTCTTCCAGCAATTCTAAAACCCTACACAAATACATGCATAGTACTTTTTTAAACCAGATATACAATTTTGTAACTCACCCAAGACATCTGCAACCAGGAAATCATTCTGTGTCTCATTTGATTCTGGGACAGCCAACCTATTATAGGTCCCCGGCTTCAGACCTGAAATATTGACTGATGAATGTGTGGTCAACTCTTCAATCAACATCCGGTAGGAGGCAGTGCCATTTTTATTGTTCCAGGTGAGATGAGCCTGTGTCACACCCACGAAGGTGACACGGAGATCAGACACTGGCCAGGGCTCTGTTTCAAAAAGACACAGTGGGTATTAGTGGGCAAGGCATCTGCAGCCATCATTCCTTAGGTCACTGCCTAAGTGACCCACTAAATATATGCCATTCATATCAGAATCTAAACACCCCCATGACATCACAGAGGCAGGGGACAAACACTATCCAAAAACACAAGAAGGAAGGAATCTTAAAACCCAAACTGCTTACATTCTGCGTCATTGTTCAAGATTAATCCCAATAGGAATTTGAAATCCTTCTTTAAAATACCCTTCTACACAGTGGCATTTAACCACGTTTATTTGAGTCACTGAAAATAAAGCATCAAACAAATGACTGTTTCTAAATCTGGAAGTCTCAGTTCAAACTAATGCAAATAATATCACTTTATAATGCCGAGACGTTCTTACCCAGGAGACATCCATATACTCCAATGCCAAGAAGATTTTAAAAGACATGCCCAGGCCCTTCTATCATCTTATTTGCCTGATGGTAACATAACTTAAACCATTTCAGCTAAAAGAACATGCACTCTCTTCCATTTCTGCAGTGTCTTTATTGCTTGTTTAGTTGGTTTCATTATGTGGCCCAGGCTGGGCTCAGACTTGCAACAATCTTCCCACCACTGTTTCGTAAGTACTAGAATTATAAACAGCAGCACCCAGCATCTCCCCTTTTCTTTGTGCTATGCGAACAGGGAGACAAGGGGAGGCAGGATGACTAACTCAAGGACATAGCCTGCTGGTGTGCGCGGTGAGGAGACCAGAATACAGATGAGCACATAAAGCCAAAGGCGGTGGTGCTACAAACAGGGAAGGGCCCTGCCTGCAGCCTGCAGAGAGCTGACTGCAAAGACGCTGGATAAATGACTCTAAGGCAGCCTCCAGCTCTGATATCATTGGTCACTGATTTGACTTCTCACATCAGATATTTCAGATACAAAGATTTCTAAATCAGATCACTGTGGGTGGGTTGGTTTTGTAGTTAACCTGGGATTACAGGGAGGCCTCCACGCGCACCCAGTATTTACTATGTTGGTGCTGAGGATCCAAAGTCTGCTTCTCACACTTGCACAGCAAGCACTTGATATACTGAACCACTTCTCTAGCCCCAGTTTTGTGTGTGTGTGTGTGTGTGTGTGTGTGTGTGTGTGTGTGTGTTGCTGACGACACTGAGAGTTGAAGCAGGGTCTCACACATACAGTCAAACACTATATCCAGGACTATGGGATCTTAGAAGAAACTCCATAGTTTTCACCTTCAGCCCTCGGGCTTTATGGGGACAAGATAATGTCTTTCTTTCACTGTGTCTGATACGATCTTTTCCACATAGTCCTGCCCTGTGGGCTCCAAGCCTCCCTCCTCACCTCCCCGTGGCAACTGCTGCTGTAGCCACCAGTCCTGTTTACCTTGTCCCTTACCTGTTGTGACAGTTTTGTTCACGGTCTCATTGGCTGTTTTCAAGGTGATGGAGAATGTATAGGAAGTGCCTGGGCTTAAGCCTGTGATGTTATATGATGTCTGGTTTTTAACAGTAAACAGCTTGTTCTCCATCTTATCCTCTATTATGTATTCTGAAGCAACTGAGTCGTTGTGTTTCCATGTTAATACCACACTGGTTGGGCTGACAACAGCTTCAACGTCAAATACAGGATTCAGCGCTATTTAAATGAAGAAAGGGGAGAGAGAGAGAGAGAGAGAGAGAGAGAGAGAGAGAGAGAGAGAGAGAAAGGGATTATATATAATTAATAAATTAATAATTAAAGTAATAAATGTAAGAATAAAGCCCACTTTGTATGTCAACTTTTCAGGACTCAATTTTATTTCTCTTTGTTTGCCTCTTTGACTTCCCTGAAACAAAATACATCCAAACATATACGCACCCTTGCATAAATGTGTGTTCTTGAAACTGAAGACAAAACAAAAAGAAGGTGGCCATGTTGGCTGTGACTTTAAACTTTGATCTAAGGTGATACAAAGAGATCTGGAATGCAGAATGAGTCTGGGAAAACTGCCTGTGAAAATTTATCCTACCCACTTGGTGAGTGACTCGGTTTGAGCCCCTTAAAACCCAATCTTAATTCTAATGTACTGCACCAACTGTGAAGGGTTGTCATTAAGCCATCACGACAATATAGACAAGATCAGTACATTAAGATCAACCCTACTCATCCCTGGCCATAAAATTTTATTCAATATCATTTCAACGCTCTGAATATTCCTGTACACGACCAAGTATGCAAGACTGCAAACCAATGGAAGCCATGTGGTGATTCACAGTAATACTAGCAAGTGAGTGGAACCTGGTCAAGCCTAAGACTGAGGAGCAATGCTCAGGAACAGTAAAATACAAGGTAAGCTCTTATTCTCGAGGTGCTGGAGAAACCACTGCTGACAGCCTTCTCTGCATGAACTGGATAGTGTGCCTCACCTAGAGGAGGTGCAAATTCATCCAGTTCATAGAAAGGGGAAGAAGAGAAGCAAGGAGAAATTGAACACTTTAGAAATAATCTTGTGAGCCCCCCTTTCATGCATGAGTGTCTTCTATAAATTGACAGATTCACATACCACTGGGTGCCACCATTTACAATGCATAATAGCTACATCAGAGGAGGCAGTGAGATGAGCAGCACCCTGGAGGGTAGTTATCAATGTCCCAGCTGCTAAGTGTGCAGGTGCCACTCACCCATCTCACCTGCAGGATGAGGTGCATGGCCATGGCACCATTCTCAATAGCAAAAAGCTATGCTAAGAGCTGGCTTGTTTTTTAATTCATACAGAGAATCCAAGGAACATGGGGAAACAGACTCCTATATTTCAACAGTCATAGGGGCGTACATTTTTACTAAATGTTTCCTCTCCATTTACTGAAATAATACTGTGGACTTCGACCGTCTTTCTATCAATGCAACATATCACATATGCTCGTGTGCGTATGCTGAACCATCTTTAAATCCCTGGGATGAATCTCACTTGATCACACTGAAGAGTCCTGTTGAATTGGGTTCCTGATCTTTCAAGGAGGAACTGACAAAGCCACTGATTAATGTAAACCTCCCTCTTAGAACAGCTTTTTGTCACATCCTGTATGTTTTGAAATATGGTCTTTCCGTTTTTTCTCAAATGTTTTAATTCCTTTCCTCTTTTTTTCTTGCATTATTGGTTATGTAAGAGCATGTTGCTAGTTTCCAAATGTGTGTAGTTTCCAGGGTTTGTAATAACTGATTTCTAGGTTTTACTTGACTGTGAGAGATACTTGCAGTGGCTCCTTGAATTCTTAAAACTCGTAAGATGTATTGTGTAGCCTAAAATAGGTCTATCCCAGACAGTGATCCATCTCCAGTGGAGAAGAATGTGTATTTGCAGCTCCTAGGGAAAATACTTGGACATGTCCCATAGGTCCCTTTGTTACAAACTATTACTGGAACTCAATCCTTCCTTACATCAGCACTGTGGGTAGCTGAAGCTGGGGTTCATAACTCAGGATGTACCCTTCTGAAAGTAGCGTAAGCACCTTCTCAATTTCTCACCCTGCTGCCTGTCACAGGGTGACTCTACAGCCTTAATCCAGAAATCGATTCTCAGAGCTACACCTAAATCCCACTCCCTATATGTTCTAGGCTAAATTGTGCCATCCCCAAAATCAATACATTAAAGTATGAAACACCAGTACCTCCAAATGTGTGTGTACTTGCAAGACAGTGTGTCAAGGGGTTAAGTTCAAATGAGGTCATGAGAGTGGGAGGTCTCTCCCCATAAAACTGCCATCCTTGTAAGAAGAGCACATTAGTGCATAGGCACAGGAGCTGAAGACAGCCCTATGATAACACAGCTCTCAGGAACTGAGAGAAGCTCCTGAACTGTGGAGAAAAAGAATGTGATCATGAAGGACACCCAGCAGACCAATGTAGAGCCCTTCCCATGCCTCCAGAAGTCCTTAGTTCCCAGAAAAAGCCTTCTGGAATAGCTCCAGAGTTTTGTTCCCTGCCATGGAGCATTCAACCCTCTGAGCTGGACTGCACTAGAAAGGTGAGATTCTGCAGAGCTCCAGCTACCCACCAGCTCATCTACCAGGCTGATTCACAGGAGAGACAGTGCCTGTATGAGCTCCCTGCTGTTGGTGAAAGTTCTGCATATTTACTGCTATTAACAAAGATTTGCCTTATTAGAAAGGTTCAATAAGTTCTACCCTCTGTGTAAAACACTGTGAGACCAACCCAATCATTTTATCTCAGTGATTCCTAAGCTTTGGGTTGTTTGGGGGGGTTTTATTGTTGTTTTTGTTTGTTTGTTTGTTTGTTTTGGGGTTTTTTGGGGGGGGTTGTTGGTTTGGTTTGGTTTGGTTTGGTTTGGCTTTGCTGGAAAAGAAAAAAAAGGTTCCTGAATTTTAGGGACAAAAAAATACATACATTTTTTAAAGTACTAACTACTATTATCCTTCTACAGAAACAGTAAGGTCTTGATCCCAGAATGGTGCTTTCAGCTGGATCTATTTAGCTATATAAACCATCATTTCCATAACATTAGGCAGGCATCTGTATTTATCTTGTCTTCCTACAGACCAGGGAAAGCACCCAGCTATACCTGGAACTCAGGCCCCCCACACAGCACTGGAGGACCGAGAGAAAGGGAACTTTATATGATCTACTGTTCTAAGGATGCCAGAACTTCATATGTATTGGGCAAGCACCCAACCATGAGCTATAGACTCATTCCCAGGCTGACACTCAAAATCAAAAGGTACAGGAGGCTATCTCTGCTTTTGAAGAATTTCTATAATTCCACACCACCATATTGTAAGTGTAGTTAAAACAGCAACACAAGAAAGTGCTTGAAAAATAATAAATTCCACATGAAATAGAAATATAAAGTATTACAGTTTCAAAACATTTATCTCACACATGGGTGTAGCCTGGTAAAAAAAAAATCACAGGAAATCCAAAGTTTTTATGAATTGGTGGTTTAACTATGTCCCCCAGGCTGACCCCAAACTCCCTAGCTCAAAAGAATCTCCTGATGTAGACTCCCAAGGAGCTGGGAATACAGTACTATTTTTATAGTTGTGTTAAACAACTAACTGAATGTTCCTTTTACTTACAGTTTCTATCTTCATTTTATTTCTAAGGGGAAAAAAATGGAAAGTAAGTGGGTTTGGGTTTTGTGGTTTCCTGTATTTCTATATGCATTGATGTTCTTTCTGCATGTCTGTACAAGGATGCTAGATCCTCTGGAACTTGAGTTACAGACAGTTGTGAACCACGACTGGGAATTGAACTCAGGTCCTCTGGAAGAGCAGCTAGTGCTCTTAACCACTGAACCATCTCTCCAGGCTCATAAGTGGATTTTTGATATATTTTTTCCCGTGATTTTTTTTCCATGTTTGCCATTATTGTAGCTCTGTGTCCACTAGGGGGCAGTAGCAAACAACACAAGAATGGAAAGGTACTCACCCGCACCTGCGCACAGGACCTGTAACAGAAAAGAAAAGGGAAGTCAGCAGATTCATTCAACCATGAGAATGCAAATCAGAAACAGAGCAGTTGAGGACTTAATATTGGGGCTGGGTGTTGAGGGCATGGAAGGCTGATGGCCATGGATAGGGCGTCTTGGAGCTTTAAATACAGTGAAAGCGCAAGTCAACTACAAAAGATTACCAAGGCCATGGGGCTGCTGGCTACATAAACCCAGTGTTTTCCCAGCTCCAGAGGCCACTGCTCCCTCATGCCCCTGTGAGAGATGAACTGACGCAGAAGGACTCAAAAGGAGATGCAGGCCACGAGCTCTGCCCCACAGCCATGTCCAGGTCCAGCCTACTGTTAAAGCCATGGCTAAAGTGAGTGCAGTCAATGGGTTTAGGATCTCTCACTACACAATATTCACCTCCTTCAGTCTATCAGTAGAGGGCACTCAGTTTTTAGTTATCTGGTGTACAGCTTTGGGAAGGAGCAAACTTTGAGGCCTTACAGATTTAGTTGGCAATGTTAGTCTTCCGTTTGGGGGAGAGGGAGTCCCATCAAGCGGTATTCACTATCATCCATACCATACATTATTTCCCCAAACCCTGGTGTAATTCAAGGTCGCATGTCCCATTGTTTCTTAAACACATGGTTTTGGTAATTGGAATTTCCAAAATATGGTGATTGAGAAAAAGAAAATAATCAAAAGAAGGAAAAATACCCCACAATTCCCCACTACACTCAGAATAAAAATCCACCCTTAACTACCCAGCAGGCTTGTGAAGTCTTGGTGACACTCATATTCTTGAAGCTGGTTTTCCTTAGGACCTTTACACATTTATACCTGCTTGCAAAATCACACCACCCCAAAACTTACTTATTTCCTAGGGCCTGCCCAAAACGCCACCTCTTCAGAGGTCTCTATGGTAACCACCCAGGAAAACTAAACCACCCTCACTCTGTCACTGCTGCCTCCTCCACTTGAGCAGAAGAAACACAGTGCACACAGTAGGCACACAGTAAGTGTCACTGAAAAGAATCAACTAGCTGAGGAAAAGGAACAGAGTCCCCAAGGTCCCCCCAAAACTTTCCACTGCCTCATCTCTCGAGCTTAACCTTTCTCAGCTCATCTGAGGGGTTCCAGCTGCTGCTGTCTCTCAAGCCAGGCAATATGTCAACCAACAGAGTTTATGATGGATCCAAGGAGAGGGAGGAAAACAGAAGAGTCCATGGCCAGCACAAGGAAGCAAGCGTATTTTGTGCAGTACTTAAAAAACAAGTTCAACTACAAAACCTCCACTTTTAAGATGGTGGCTTCTGGTGGCCTTTGGTACATCTCTTCTTGGTATCAATACACTATTGCCCCTCCTGGAATCCATTTATCTAAGGACCACCTTAAACCATCAAACACCTGCATCCTGCCCACTAACGGTTTGCCAAAAGTGGGGTAATGAAACAAGTCTAAGAGTAACTCCAGTCAGAGAGCACTGTCACAAATATTCCAGTAGGAAGCACCCACAAGGACCAAGCACGCCTCTAAAGCACCAATGCTGCGTAGACAGCCTCCTCATTATCCCAAGAAAGAGGACAGCAGCAGCCATGCCCTCAGAGACAGGTAAACTACTGCATGCAGACAAGGGTGCATGCAAAAGCAGAGTGTGGTGCCTCGAGATCTTTGTCGTGTGTCCCCTTAAGTCACTTGTACAGGTAAAAGGCAAGGATCATCTGTTGGAATAAAAAAGGAGTGGCAGCTCTGCATCCCTGTGCTCAGCATGTTGAAGTCAATTCATTCAGAATGCTGACTACTAGGCTCTGTCCAAAATGCTCTCAGACACAAACTCAGTCTTCCAAACAACTCATTAATAAGAAGGTGAATGGTAGGGCCTGGATTTGAACTATAATACTTAGACTACAGAGTCCCTCTGTATAACCACCAGCTCTGCCACCTCCTGAGTGGGGAAAAATACTAGGGATTAGTGAAGATTTAAAAATTAATTATAAAAGATATTATATTAGTATGGTCATTTCCCATCTCTAGTAATAATAATAATTTTTAAAAACAGGGTAAGGGTTCCCTATGCTCTGAGGCAGATTGGACCAGATTTCTCCTTTGAACCCTCTCAGAGGCTCCTGTGTCTCAAACAAGGCAAGATGGATCTCTTTGGAGCTCATGGTGAAACAATGGCCACTTCAAAAGCACATGGTTATCCTCTCTTTGCCAACCTCCCTCTCCACCTTTGCCCTCTCGTTCTCACCTCCTTGGACCTGACTTCCAAATAATGTCAGCCCTTTCCTCAGAAGCCACAGGCACTAAGACTCAGCCTAGCAAAGGGGTATCAAGAGTCTGCAAGGGATAGTACAGTGAGGTACACAGGGGAAGGACTTCATGGGGTCTGCCCATGATGCCTGCAGCTTTGGCAACACGTTGAAGAACACCACCTATCGGTTGAGATGGCTCCAGGAAGAGGATAAGCAGACCCTGATCCTTGAACTAAGTCAACAAGTACCTCCAGACTCCTTGCCAGGGGAGAGCAACACCGCTGACCAGGCAACTACCTGCTTTTTCACCACCTGTTAACTATAACAAGTTACACTAGTTCACACAGCAAAGTGAGGTATGCTGACTTTCACTTAACCTGCAACTGTACAGCAGGAATCCTGAAAGGCCAACGGCTCCTCTTCTGGGATCAGCTCAGGTCAACGGAAAGCACAGTCAGAACCCCCCAGCCTCTTTCACAAACCAGATAAAAAGATACCAGTAAGACACCTGGCCAGGTGGGCACTTCATACATACTTTTAAAAATGCCATCAACACAAACAGAAGGTAAAGCCTGTCAAGCTTGATGCAAGAGGATAGGAGATGAGTTCCCAGGCTCTGAAGCAGCACACCAAAGTTATCTGCAGAAAAGGGAGTCTGGGGACAACTTCTCTGTTGACAGCTGGATGGTGAGGACCACAGCTCCTGGTGCTCCTGAAGAAGGAGCTGAGACTTCTCCCCCAACCCCGCACCCCTACATCAGTCTCTACCCGCATAGGGAGAGTGGTAAGCATTCCTCAGGCTCCTTCAGGGAGTCCTCAGTGTGCCCATGCCCAGTTGGCTGTGGTAGCAACAAAAAATAAGAATCTCCATTCACAGATAAGGACAGCGCTGCTCTCAGGCTACACAGCCCAAGATCAGATACTCATGCCGCAGAGGAGAAAGCATGGAGAGAGACGCTGCAGACTGGAGACAGGCCCAGTGCTTTGCACTCCCCACTTCCCTCTGGGCAGAAACTAAACAGATGATGAGGTATGCAGAGGCAAGCTTGAGGTGGAGGCATGCCAGGCTTCAAGGGCTGACCCTTCCCTGAGCCCCCCGGCCTTTCCCTTGTAACCTAGTAGAGCTGTTACACAGAGGACTGGGGAGTTCCACCTGCGGCTTAGGGCTCCGGGGGCACCAAACGTCACAGCCCTTACACCAGGGAGCCGTTGAAGGTGTTGCAGAAGTACGATTCCCACAGCCGCGTCACATCCATACAATAGAAAATCACTACATCAAAAAGAGGAATGGAGCACTGACTCCTGATACATGGGTCAATCTCAAAAAGATGGTAGTCCAGGAAAGAGGCCAGACACATGACCCAACACAGTTCATTTATATAAAATATCCAGAACAGAGACTCCACAGAGGAGAAACACAGGCCAGGGGTCACAGGGGCTGGAAGGAGAAGAGGCCTGGTTACAAACGAACTCTATTTGTGGGTTTCTTTACGGGTGGTTCTAAGTGAAGAGAATGGATAGAGACGCAGTCGCACGATAGGGTGGATGCGCTACATGCTGCTGAAACTCACTTCCGAACGGTTTCTCTTGCTATTAAATAGGTTCTCAGGTTTTGCCCATCCCATCCCCTCTGTGCTCAAGGGAGGAGGGAAAGGAAGGAAAAGGAAAAGAAGGGGAAGGAGATTAAGAGAAGGAACTCTGAATTCTTCCTGCTCCACAACCAGGCCAGGAGACCTCACTGGGAACATGGACCTAAACCTTTCAAATTCACCACAAATCTACATGGCAACACCACACACCAAAATAGACCCTTTAGTTCCTCCTCTTGCCCTCTCTCTGGTGTGAGTTCCCCATTATCCCAGTACCCCAGGCTATAAACTTTGGAGCCCCTTAATGCACCCCTACACACACATCCATGGATCTGATCTCCCATGGTCCTGATCTCCCCGTTTCCCTGCTGTGTTCTGTCCTCATAATCCGAGGTCTGTAGAGCAGAGGCAGCTGCACCCTAGGCCTGCGAGGCTTGTGGCATTTCAAATACATCATCCATACTCATAAAACTAACAAGAGCCAGAACGGGTGGTTATCTGCCGCCGTTTGTTTCTGTTTTGTCAGATTATGACTAAGACTCTATACAGAACCCTCTATTTGGAATACAAAACAGAACAACGCCTAAAGCAGGGCCTTCCTCGAACACTGAAGGTGAATGAAGCCAGATCCTCTTCCCTCATTCATTCACCTGGATGACATCTCTCTTTCTTACCCTGTGTGCTAGGGCCTTCCTCAGTCTGAAAATAAACAGATCTGCCAGATGACTCTTCTTAAAGGCTGCAGTGTCAGTCAGGAGCCCGGCAGAGACAGGAGCCACCCTCAGCCAGAACAGATGGAGAGAGTGGATGGGGCTGTGGGAAAGCGACAGCAGTGTGCAAGAATCCTGAATGTCTACAACTGGAAAGGGGAGACAAGCTGAAGTGACTGTCTCTCCCATCTCCCACTGTCCAAAGAGGAAGGCAGAAGTCAAGGGCACCCCTGACATAGAACACTGAGGTAGACCTCCTCTTGGGGTGCACATAGATGGGTTGGGGCACATAGAAGATAACCCAGGCTCATCTTCAGAGAGTCAGCTGATCTGCTGGGTGAGAGTCAGCAGGGTCAAGAAGCTCGGGTTCAAGCTGCATGCGGTGGCAGTGCACGCCTTTAGTTCCAGCATTGGGAGGCTGAGGGAGGTAGAGTTCTGTGAGTTCAAGGCCAGCCTGGTCTACAGACCAGTGGGTCTGGACCATCTTAAGTGCCCCCTCTGTCTTTGGTAACCTGCACCATGCAAGGCTTGAGGCAGGGGGTTGAGTGGCATGGGCTGAAAGCTTAGAGATCATCAGGTGAATTGAAAGGGACAGCCTGAGCTACAAAGTGAGATCCCTGTCTTTAAAAATAAAATAATAATGGTAAATAAAGGGTCGGTCCCAGGGGCTTGAGAGTCTCCTTGAGTCATTCATTTAATCAATTATAAAATAATGAAAGGGCATCTACAAATATATATGTATATATATCCCAAATGTGTTCACTCAAGATTCAAACACAGCAAGGTTCCTTGATTCCTGTGCTAACACCCTTCTTCCTCACCAAACCCCAAAGCTACCCTTTCAAGTCACCTGATAATCTCTAAGCTTTCAGTCCATGCCACTCAACTCCCCGCCTCAACCCCTGATTGGTGCAGGTTACCAAAGGCAGAGGGGTACTTAAGGTGGTCCAGAACCACCAAGAGCTCATAAGCCTGAGAAAACTTCAAAGAAATGGCAGAGTAAGTGGGCAGGGTAGGGGGAGGAGCCTAGCTGAGCAGGTAGACCTTACCTAAGGACTCTAGAAAATATAAGTGACTAAGGAAAAGGTCAGGAGATTGATAGAGCGTGTAAAACTGTGGCCGACAACCACACAAAGAGACCCCTGGGACTGCGCTTGCTGTAACATTAATCGGCTTTCCTCCTAGCCTAGCACTGTACTGTGTGTTACTTTCATCATCACACTTAAATCTTCTGAGACCACAGGGAGCAGACGCTATGGTTATCTCCATCTTACAGATGTTGACAGCACAGCTGGGAAGTTATGTTCCTGTCCTGACATTGTTCAGCTTACAGTAGAAGATTTGCATCCCTTCTGCCTGACCCTGGAACCCCTGGCCTTAACTTCAGGAAGCACTATGCAGCCTCATCTACAGACAGGTCTCAACAGATATCAGGAAAGCCAAGGTTACAAATGCCTGGCCTTGCCACGCTGGCATGGCCCGAGGGACACGTTCTATCAGCTCATTGGAGCTGACTAAATGAAACAGCTTTTGCAAAAGAAACTGAAATCATAGAGCAGCCTGGATTTTACCAAGTGAGGAGGCAGCAGGTTTTCTATTCTACATGTTGGGTGCTCAAGGGTGAGTAAAGGGGACTTTAGTACACAATGGGTAACAATAGACTCTTTATCCTTCTAAAGCCAAGCCCACACACCAGATGACAACAGTTATATTTACTCACTGACGTAATTAACCAAAATGGGAACTGCTTCAAGCAATGTTTAAAATCAAATAGTATTTTATAGGGTCTGGAGCAAACTGAGTCCGAATGTGAAAGGCCACCTTTCTTCCTCGCTCTGCTTCATGTCTCTGTGAAAATTATCCAACAGCTCCCTGAAATACAGCCCACAGAAAGGCAAATCCTTGACTTCTGAGAACAGCACACTGGCGGGGCCTCCCACCAAACACACACAGCAAGCACCATGGCTGAAATGCCCCAGAGTCAGGTATCACCTGGTGAACTGGTCTCAGTACCTGACATTAAATTCCACCAGGGAGCCCAAAGGCAGGGCCTGAGCAGCAGAGCAGAGCATTGGAAGATTCCACCTCAAAAGCAAATAAAGGACTCGGAATTTGATCTTGCCATCCTTAACAGTCAGCATCACCCACAGCTCTACACCCCAAAGATTCAGGGTGAAGTTTCATTGGACAGAATGGGCACCACCCTTACTGGAAAGCCCAGCCACCTGAACGCTGCCCTCGAGGGAGCTGGAGGCACAATGACCTCTTCCACAAAGTGCAAAGGAACATGTAGTCAGAGGCCCTACCTGAAAGAGGCTGTGTGAACTCTGAAACACAGAGCTGAGGAAGACTTTAGAAAATCTTGGGCCAGGAGTTTCTGTCAGTATTTTTAGCAGAGCTGTTACTGCCAACCCCCACACACACCCTAAAAGAACCTTATGAATAACATTTAAGAACACAATTCCACACTTCATATCAGTATAATTATGTATGTGTCTGTGCATACCAGATGACAGCAACTAAACTTCAAGTGACCTTTTGATTTTTAAAGTAATCTGCATGTGACCAGGTGACATTCCTGATGGTCTGCACTGTATTCATGGTCCACAGGCCAATGCCCAGGAGGCAGAGGCAGGAGGATGGCAAGTTCCAGGGCAGGCGAGGGGAGTGTTCTGCTTGTCTTCTGAGACAGGACAGCTTTATTTTTTTTTTTTAAGAGGTGAAGGATTTGGTTTTATTTTTTCCCCATCTGTAAAGATAGTGAATACCTTAGCTCAAGTGATGGCTGACTGTGGAAAGTAACTGACAAACTGGGAGGGAGGATTGAGAAGGGGATCCCATTTTTTCTTTTTTCTTTTTTTTTTTTTATATAGACAACACAATTTGGATTTTTATTTTAATTTAATCTTATGTTTTACTTTCTTTTGGCAAGGAAAGTCACAAGGGTGGGGTGGACATGGAAGGACAAGGAAGTAAGTGTGATTGTGTGATGGGGTGCATGATGTGAAATTACAAAAATATCAATACAAATATTATGTTGAAAAGAATAAAGAAAGTGAGAAATAAGACTGGGAGGTGTTGGGAAAATATAAGATACCTTTTATAAAATAAAGATGACACACAATTAATTTATGGAATTAAAGATAATGAAAGTGTTAACAGTTTAGAGAACATCTTATAATGTTTAACACAATATATTTCAAGTATGTAAAATACTAATGTCACACTTTTAGATTCTTTCTTTTTCCTCTACTCTAGGTAATATTAACAAGGGTAAACTGAGAACTCATTCAGAAATATCTTAACTTGGTAAAAATCCACAGCCAATTCTTTCAAAATTTACATAAATATTTTTTAGGGAGTGTCTTAGTTAGTGTTTTTACTGTTGTGAACAAACGCTATGACCAAGGCATCTCTTATAAGGACAGCATGTAATTGCAGGTTCAAAAGTTCAGTGCATTATCATCAAGGCAGGGGCAATGCAGCATCCAGGAAGCCATAGTGCAGGCAGAGCTGAGAGTTCTACATCTTCATCTGAAGTCTGCTAGGAGAAGACTGGCTTCAAGGAGCTAGGATGAAGGT